AGTTCCTCCAGTCTCTATCAGATCAATAAGTCTGTTTTTGTTTTTGAATTTGAAATTTGTTCCACATTTTTTTACTCATTCTAACCAGGACCTTCTATTATGGTCCCAGTCAGAGTGGTTGGTAGTGGTAGCCAGGCACCATCTAGTTCTTCTGTTCTCAGGTTAAAGGCGATTGTGATTCATGTGAGCCATTAGTCCTTTGGACTAATTGCTTCCTCGAGTCTTAGTTTTTCTTCATTATCCTTTGCTCCAGGCAGGAAGAGACCAGTAGCTGCTTCTTAGATGGCTGCTCACAAGCTTTTAAGTCCTCTGATGCTACTCACCAGACTAAGATGCAGACATTATTTTTATGAACTGTATTTTGCCAATTGACCTAGATGTCCCCCGAGACTGTGGTCTTTAGCCTTCAAGCCCAGCAGTTCAGTCTCAATGTCTAAGTAGCTTCTATAACTGTGCCCCCATGTGCTGTTACATATATGAGTATACACGCAGCATTTACAAATATGAATGTAGAAATATCCACAACCCTACCTATATATGCATGCAGGTGTACTCTCATACCTTTCACACCTCTCTAGCATACATATTTGCCTAAGTATCTACTCACAAATTATTGTTATTACTGTTACTGCAGGATTGTATATGTTATAGCATTTCCTGTAGTTGCCCTTTATTCTTTTGTACCTCTGTCTTCCTTTTTTATTTCTCTGTCATCTGTAGGATGCTATTGAGCCTATCCAGTGAGTTTATTTTAGTTCTATTTTTTAGTTCTATAATTTCAGTTTTTTTATGTATCATCTATTTCTTTGCTGAAGCTTTCATTTGTTTTAAGAGGGTTTAAAATTGCTTATTAATTTTATGATGGCTGCTTTAAAAAACTCGTTAGATAATTCCAACTTCTAAGTCATCTCAGTATTGGCATCTATTGATTATCTTTTTTAATTCAAGTTGTGATTTTTCTGGTCTTGGTATGATGACTGAATTTTGATTACATCTCAGATATTTTGGGTACTAAGTTATGAGACTTGATCCTGTTTAATTTTATTAGGCAGTCACTCTGTTTAGGTGTAGCATGCTGGTTCTGGGCTACTTTTGTGTGCTGTGGCTCCAATGACAATTTAGTTTTCAAAGCCTCTGCAGTGCTATTATGGCCTGCTTCTTTTGTGTGCTCCTCAGAGGCCAATCTGAAAACCTGGACAATATTTCACACTGTAATTCAGTTCTCAAAAAACTGTGCTGTGTTAATTCTGGTCAATTTCTCATGTAGGTCAATATGAGGTCTTCCCAGAACTTCATACGAAAAATCCCTTTCTCTAGCTTCTTTCTCTCCAAAATTCTCCCCCCTATTCTCTAGTTAAGAGGGAGAAGAGTGTTGCCTGACAGTGATGGACACTGGGAGTGTGTCTTAGTTATATCCAGTGCTGTTGTAACAGAAATAGCACAAAAGGGTGACTTGACAAACAGAAATTTATTTTCTCACAGTTAGGAGGCTAGAAGTCTGAATTTAGGGTGCTGGCTCTAGGGAAAGGTTTTCTTTGTCAGCTCTGGAGGAAGGTCCTTGCGTTTTTGAGCTTCTGCTCCGGGTGATCTTCATGTGGCCTAGCATCTCTCCCCCTCATCTCTGCTTGCTCTCTTATTTAATCTTTTTTGTATCTCAAAAGAGATTAATTTAAGACACATCCTACACTAATACTGTCTCATTAACATAACACAGAAAACCAACTCCCAAATGGGATTATAACCACAGGTATAGGGGTTAGAATTTACAATACCTATGTTTGGGGGTCATAATTCAAACCACAACAAAGTGGAAGTTCAGGTTCCTCTCTTGGCCTCCATTGATACCACTCCAATGGGGAAAGTGAAGCACTGCTTCATTGCCATTATCTAGGGGAGGAAGTTCAGGCTCCTCACTCACTACTAACAGTCCTAACTGACACTACCCCACAGGGGGAAGTGAGATGCTGCCTCACACCACCTTGTTGCCACCAGATGGAAGTGGAATTACAGACTCCCCATCTACTCCCACTGACACCATCTCAGCTGGGGTGAGTGAAACACCATCCTGGCGCTGCCTGGCAGGAAGCAGTTCAGGTTCCCTGCTGACAATACCTAACGAGAAAAGCAGCCTCTTATATCCAGGTGCGGGGGTGGAAAACCAGGTTCCATACTTGGTCCCTGCTGACACCACCATGGCAGAGGAAGCGAAGCACTGCCTCATACTATCTTCTTGCCACTGGGAAGGGGTGCAAGTGCAGGCTGCCTGCTTGGCTTCTACTGACACCACCTTGGTGAAGAAATCAAAGTGCAGTTTGCTACAGCCAACTGGAAGGCTCCCCACTCAGCTTCTGTTGGCACTACCGGAAGGCATTTCACGGTCTTTGGCTACAGTAGGATAGGTACTGGCAAAAAGGTTTTTGTCTTGTTAGGTTGCTTTTTCACAGTCCTTTGTCTAAAGAGAGCAGGCTTTTCTTAGAATTTTAAAAATCTGCAAACTACATTTCTAAGTTGTGGGCTTCTCCAGCACCCAGTCTGAGATATAAAGAAGACAAAAAGAAAACCCAGAGAGCTATCCAGTCTGTCATCTTCTCTCCACCTTCCGATGTCTTCCTATGTTTTCCTTTAGTATGATAGACAAGGTTTTTAGTTGTCTTTGCCAGAAGAATAGGGAGAGATGAGTCTACTCCATCTTGTCTAACAAAAGGCTCAGGAAGGCCATATTTTAAAATGGAGCAATCTGTAGGATATAGGTGAACAACAACCGACATGATAAAACATAAAGCGTCAAACAATATGTATGGTAATATAGGGTAATAAATGGATCAGACTCAACAATAAAAGCCCAAATCTGTTGGGTGAGGCAAGGCTTTTTTCCCAGAAGCAAAGGACTCTGGGAAGGACTGATTCACTCAAATCTACTAAGGTACCACTGGATACAATGGAATTGATGCCCTTTCCTCCAAAAATCAAATCCAGAGAAATACTCAATTGACAAAATGTGGTCCAATATCAGACAGTACTGTCTTTATAAAGAGCAAAGCACCATCCTGCCCTTGCAAGCTACCACACAGGCTAGGTTTAAAGACTGGTAAACAAAGAGTATGACAGCATCTATAGCCAGGAGTTTCAGACATGTAATAAACTCTTAAGTTAACTGATTTTCCATTCCCAGAGTCAGCTCTGACAATGCACTGGCAGTGAGCTGAGTCAGTCCGGACGGGCTCCAAAGGCAAGTGGGAGAAGGACCCAGGACCCAGCACCTCACTGAAAAAGATAACAACCTAAGCTCCAAGGAAGTAAAGAAAGACGGTGGACAACTATACCTCAGAAGTGGGCAGCTGACTTGAATCAGCTGTTTCTGGGATTTTTCATTTGGGTACTGGTACTAAAATCTCCTGTGCAAGGGGAGAGGATTATTTTTAATTGCAAAAACAGCAATGGAAAACTTTTAAATAATCCCTTGCTTTCACATTTTAAAAATCTTTTCATAAATATTCACACTTTTCCACCCTAACTGAATTATGGGGGAAAAAAATTAAAAATGCCATTCCCTGAGGAAAGAAAGTCCACTGAGCTCCCAAAAAGGGAGGAAAGTGAACAGGAAGGGTTAAAACTGGTCTTCTATCTGCAGAGAAGACATAGGACAGGGAATGACTTTTATGTTCCCATCAGTCCCACATGGAGTCCACAGTAAGGGGGACTTGAGGAGGTGGTGGGTGGGAAGGAGCCCAACCCCTGACCACAGGAACACCAGTCTCTGCCCAAGGCACTTAGGCATTCACTGGTCTCCTCTCCTGGCCTCCCTTCACCAGGTAGAGGATTTGCTCTTCCTTACCCACCTCAGCTAATGCACCTGTGACAGGATAAAATCTTCTGCATCATCTTCCTTCACCCACTGCTGCTGCTACTGCCAGCCTGCTTCTGGCTTCCCACACCACATACACTTTCTGTGCTGGGAAGTGTGACTTCGGCAAGACGAGTAAAGACATGGAGACCTGGCTTGCATGTTAACACAAATTAACTAGGTCAAACACCACCCTCTCAATCCTTGCCGAAAAAAAGGTTCATATGTCTCAGAAATACTTAGTTCTAAAGGATTTGAAGGACCCAAGATTCCTCCACAAACACACAAGCTGTCAAGGATCTAATGCTGCCTCTCCAAGTTACTGCCAGGATTCTGGGGAGAAGACAGAGAGACAAAGGCCAAAAGAACTGTGAGGAGGAGAAGAGAGAGGGAGAATTTTGAAAGGTCTCCAAGGTGGCCATCAGAGGAGGCTCTTTTAAGGACGGACAGGACTCAGTCGGAATGTAAAGAAATGGTTTGTGACATTCTCTAGCTATTACTTGAGCTCATGATCCATCTAAGAGTAGTATCTCTCTGGTATAGGTCTGTACCTAGGAACCATCCGATATTAGGGACTATCTGTCTGCTTTAATTCTGCCTCTTTCCCGTCTCATTACCTGAACTTGTAATTTAGAGATGGAGGAAACCTCAGCCAGCCTCTTGTTCCAGCTCCATGTTTTACATTCAGGGAATATGAGGCCCAGAAAAGAGAATGAATTTGCTTCAGATTTAAAGGACAAGGACAAGTACCCAGGACTCTTCCTTCCTGGCCTAGCTCCCCTGTCCTTTTGGAACAAACTCGTATATAGTTATAAGTGAGGAGATCTGGGGTTTACTTTCTATTCTCCTCCTCATGTCCATGATAATGTAGAGTATGGCCATCTCTGCTCTGTACCTCAATTTCTCCATACATATAATGGAAAGTTGGATCCTAACCTTAAATATGACAGAAATGCTTCCAACATTTTTTTTAAAATAGTCTATAAAGGGTTACTTATTTGGCATTAACTGTTCTTTAAGTTATTTTACATTATTACTATTATTATTATCCAATGTTCATTATAAAAGTTTCAGGAAAAAGTGATTCTCTTATCTGTAAAAACACCAAGGCTGTCTTGCAGGCTTATACTAACTCCCTGAGAAGAATATCACTCACCTTGTCTTCCTCTGAACTCTCCATCTCTGCCCCCTTCTTTAGTTTTGCCAGCGCACTCTTGAGGTCTTGAGATGTGTAGGCATTGGTATTGATGTCCAGCCTGTCCAAAGAGAAGCTGAGAGTCAGGAGGAGGCATAATTTTCCCCAATAAAGAAAACCCTCCTGGGAGGCGAGTAGCCCAAGGCAAGTTGGGCCAGGCCAGGTCTAACTCTGAGTACACTATCCTGCCTTTGCCTTTGGGCAGCCAGAGGTCCAACAGGGTAACATTACCTTAAAGCTAAAGGGGAAAGACACAGCTGAAGATGGGGTCATTTCATGAGATAGGAGGGAAGGGCATGGGGCAGACAGATGTCCACCACAGACAGAGAGCTTCAGTCAGCTGCTCAGGGAGAAACAAGTCTGGAATGTCTGTGAGATGCTGCTCCCTCAGCATGTGCCAAGGCAGGACTTCCTAGAAGGCAGTCGACACAGACACAAGGAGTAACATGCACCCTATTTATATTCTTCTAGGAAAGAGAACAACAGGGTCCTGAGCCTCACCATGTGTGCCAGATACCGTTTGACAAGCCAGCCTGTCTTCACAAAACTGGGTTGGGTAAATTCAGACCTGAAGACCAATCCCTAGGCACAGAGGACGACGTGAAGGAGGTCTATTAACATGACAAAGGAATGGGTTTGAGATACTGACGACTAGAATTTAGGACAGCCATCTTCATTAGTCAGCCTCCAAGGAGAGGGAGGATAGGAAAGGAACCAACATGGCTGTAACCTTGGGAACTTGCCAAAGACTAAAGAGTAGTATCCCCACAAAGACTCCTGGAACTGATCCAAGCCACAGCCATTTATCTTGACTGGAGAGAAGGTATCCATCGGGGCAAGATTTTGTCACCAGCACTCATTTCAGTTCAGGAGGAGCGGTAAGTACAAAGGCGATGCAGCCAAAGGGAAGTGTGGAATGCGGACTGTGTCTGACAAGACTGTTCAGCTACAGGTAGGCTAAGATAACCCAGGAGATTTCAGAAGTTGGGGAGGAAGGGACTGTTATGGATTGAACTGTGCCCCGCAAAAAGTTATGTTGATGTCCTAACCCCTGTACCGGTAAATATGACCCTGTTTGGAAATAGGGGCCTTTCTTATGTTAATGAGGTCATACCAGAGTAGGATGTGTCTAAACCCAACCCCTTCTAAGTGGCGTCTTATAAAAAGGACAAAACAGACACAGAGACACACACAAGGAGAAGACCGATGCCATGTGAGAAACTATCTACAAGCAAAGGAACATCAATGATTGCTGGCAGATACCAGAAAGTAGGAAAAGATAGTCCCACAGAAGGAATCGACACAGCTGAGACCCTGATTTGGACTTTTAGCCTCCAGAACTGTGAGAAAATAAATTTCTGTTATTTAAAGCCACTCACTTGTATTTTTTTGTTACAGCAGCATTAGGTAATCAAGACAGGGACTACTGGCCTGCTCTACTCCAGGAAGGACACTGCATCTATCTCAGAGTTCAAGATCCCAGTAGGCCTTAACTCTCATGAGACAACCAAGCTCTCAGAGATTTACTCATTCAGTCTTTGATTCATCCTAGGCCCCTTTAGGCCCCTGGGAAAAATACTTGTCTTCTCAGTCCTCCTAAGCTAATTAATAATAGCTAATCACTCCCATTTATTGAGTACTTAACCATGTGTTGGGTACTGTGTTAATGCCTTAAAAAGTACTATTTTATTTAAATCATCACCACACTCCTATAAGATACAGGAAAGAATCCCTCACCCTGCAGAGCCCCATCCTCTGCCCGCTGCTTTAGGATGCCACTGCTGTGCCTCCTCCCCTCTCTGGGAGCTAAGTATTCAGGGTTATAAGTGAACAGATTATTCTTCCTCTAAGACTTCTTCAGGGCTAATCCCACCATGTCTCACATTTCTGTTTACTGTCTTAAGTCTCAACCTCCCAGGTCATCCATCATCACACCTACTATCAACTCCAACTATACACACACAAAAGCCCACATGTGCATGCACACACACCCCACCCTCAGATGGCAATCTCACCTCATTCTTCACTGAGAAAATAGACATTATCGGCAGGAACTCCCTCATCTTCCCCATCATCAACTCTATAAACCAACCTGCACCTGAATCAATAATCTCTGCTTTCCCTTCTGTTACAATGCATGAGAGTATCCCTGCTTCTATCAAAATTGTATTCCAGGTCTCACCTGTCTTTTTATAAGCTTTAACTCCCATAATTATACCCTTCTCTCCTGCATCATCAAGTCCTCCCTTTAGATTGGATTATTCTCATCAGCATACCGATACTCCTTTGACTCCACAGTCTTTTCTAGTTATCATGCTATTTCCCAGCTTTCTTTCCGAGTAAAATTTTTTAAACAATTTCTCTTCATTCACCAACCCCACCTTCTTGACTCCTATTTACATTGCCATTCACTCTAATCTGGATTCTGTCCCCGTAACTCCACTAAAACTGCCCTCAAAATTAATAATTGGATGGCCAAATCCAGTGGACTCTTCTCTAACTTTATGTTCCTCAACCACTCAGAAGCACTGACACAGTCACCCCTCCTTTCTTGAAACGGTCTCCTTTCTTGGCTTCTTGTCACTCTCCTTTCTTGGCTCCTTCTCTAACTCTTTAGCTGGTTCCTCCTTTCTTACCTAAACCTACAAGTGGAATGCTTCAAAATTCAGCCCTGGACAATCTTCTCTATCTCCACACTCTCCCCTAGTTCTCTTAAAACTGGGTCTTAGTCATCTAATGCTGTTGTAATAGAAATACCACAAGTGGATGGCTTTAACAAAAAGAAGTTTATTCTCTCACGGTATAGTAGGCTAGAAGTCCAAATTCAGGGTGTCAGCTTCAGGGGAAGGCTTTCTCTGTCAGCTCTGGAGGAAGGTCTTTGTCACCAATCTTCCCCTGGCTAAGAGCTTCTCTGTGCAGGAACCCTAGGTCCAAAGGACATGCTCTGCTCCCAGTGCTGCTTTCTTGGTAGTATGAGGTCCCCCTGTCTTTCTGCTCGCTTCTCACTTTTATATCTCAAAAGAGACTGACTCAAGACACAACCCAATCTTGTAGACTGACTCCTGCTTCATTAACATAACTGCCGCCTATCCCATCTCATTAACATCATAGAAGTAGGATTTACAACATATAGGAAAATCACATCAGATGACAAAATGGTGGACAATCACACAATACTGGGTATCATGACCTAGCCAAATTGATATACATATTTTTGAGGAACACAATTCAGTACATGACAAATAGCTATCTGCCAATGATGCCCAAATTCATATCTTCAGCCCAAACCTCTCCCCAGAGCACCAGACTCTTGTGTTGTTGTTGTTGTTGTTAGGTGCCATCGAGTGGGTTCCAACTCAGTGACCCTCTGCACAACAGAATGAAACACTGCCTGGTCCTGCGCCATCCTCACAGTCGTTGCTATTTTTGAGCCCACTGTTGCAGCCACTGTGTCAATCCATCTCATTGAGGGTTTTCCTCTTTTTCACTGATCCTTTACCTAGCATGATGTCCTTCTCCAGGGACTGGTCCTTCCTGACAACATGTCCAAAGTACTTAAGACAAAGTCTTGCCATCCTCACTTCTAAGGAGCACTAAGGCTGCACTTCTTCCAAGACAGACTTGTTCATTCTTCTGGCAGTCCATGGTATGTTCAGTATTGTTCACAAACACCATAATTCAAAGGCATCAATACTTCAGTCTTCCTTATGTATTGTCCAGCTTTTGCATACCTATGAGGCAACTGAAAATACCATGACTTGGGTCAGGCAAACTTTAATCCTCAAAGTGACATCTTTGCTTTTAACACTTTAAAGAGGTCTTTTGTAGCACATCTGCCCAATGTAGAGCATTATTTGATTTCTTGACTGCTGCTTCCATTGGCACTGATTGTGGATCCAAGTAAAATGAAATCCTTGACAATTTCAATCTTTTCTCTGTTTATCATGATGTTGCATACTGGTCCAGTTGTGAGGATTTTTGTTTTCTTTATGTT